TTTTCTTAGTTGCTTTTGTTTATTTATTGTTAATTTTTAAATGTTTATTTTTGAGGGAGACACAGACAGAGCACGAGTGGGGGAGGGTCAGAGAGAGAGGGAGACAGACTCGGAAGCAGGCTCCAGGCTCCCAGCCGTCAGCACAGAGCCCGACCAGGGCTCGAACTCACGAACTGCGAGATCGTGACCCGAGCCGAAGTCAGAGGCTCAACCGACTGAGCCCCCCAGGCACCCCGACGATTTTGTTTTTAGAGATCATCTTTCATTGACCGAGTTTGCCTTTTTATTTTTTAAAAGTAATCTCTACACCCAACATGGGGCTTGAGCTCACAACGCCAAGACCAGGATTCGCATGTTCTACTGCCTGAGCCAGCCAGGCGCCCCAGAAGGTTGCCCTGTGAAAGTGGGAGGAGGGCCCAGAGCTCAGGAAGGGGAATTTGGGAGATGGGGGGTAGGGCAGCCCGAGATTGTCATGCTGTGTCTGATGTCTGTAGCGTAGAGCCAGCTCGGAGCAGGCGCTCCACGGCTGTGCCCCGTGGCATTGCCACCGTGTTCCCTCTACCCTTGCCAGGGATCTGGATCCGTGGCCCTGAGGCTGTACACATCCAGTCCTGCATCTGACCCTCTGTTTTCACTGCTGCTCTGAGGCTCCTGGGTGAGGGACCAGCTCCCAGCCCTGCCCGTCCTGATGCAGGGCCTGTGGCAGATCAGACACAACCTGCACGTGTTGAGTAAATAAGTGAAATCGAATACATCTACCAGTTTGGTGCAGCTGACAAAGGTTGCTACACTGAAACCTCTTACAGTACAGTGAGTGATGACCCTGAGGGAGGGGCCACCATCCGATATTTTGATATCATCCATTTGATATTGAGTGCTTTTTAGGTGCAAGGTAGCCTTGAAATACACTCATGAAAATCTCTGAGGTGCCATCCTTCCCTCATGGAGCTTCCCATCTAGAGATGCGGGTAAAACACTACCTCTCCCACACACAGTGTAACCAGATTTGAGGTATTTACCAACAGAGTTTGCTGTATTTCCAAAAGTAGGATTTATGCTAATAAATATTTAAGTCTGCAACTGTCCCATTGAATCATCTTTACCTGAAACTCTAAACTTGCAGGGTGCTCAAAAATTGCTAAATTTACATGTTTTGGGGAAGTGAAAGTTAAAAATTACAACCTAACTATATCATTCAAAACTGTAAAAGGACTTTTTGAAACATGTTTTTTACAGGTTTGATCTGTACTGACTTACGTATCGCTGTTAAAATAGAAGCTTTTCCCAAAGACTGAATAAAATATCTGAGGCTTTCCTAGACGATTTTTTATTGGCACTTTTCATGGCTTTTTCAGTTATTTTATGCATTCAAGTTATGTTTTCTAAAATGTAGGTAAAAGAATGGCCAACTCCTTTGCATCAAAGACCTTCACGGCACTTGCAGATCTGTATCCAAATATGGCTAACCTGGTAGGTTTTAAGATCTAGTGGTTTGGGTCTCTAATGAAACTATTTGGTAACATTATATTCCATCAACATTATTGACTTGACATGTGCTTATATAATTGACAAGACACTCACTGCATCAGTACCATTATTAGATATTAGGTACCCCTAAACCGCTTTGAATTTATGTCAGCGACGTGAAAATTAGGCTCTCTTTTGGTCAGAGGGTAGGACATTGTAGGTATGATTAGCAATGGTTCAAAATAATCAAGTTTAGTTGTATTGTTTTAATTAAATATTTACTAACAGCTCCAATTTAGCATAATAAAATTAAAACATTTTTACTCAGCAAGATCTATTCTCTGACCAAACTGTACTTAAGTTACACATTTAAATACTTATCAGTAGGCTCCTTTTATGACCTAAAGGTACACGACAGATATAGTTGTGAAATATTATGTGAAAATTCATTTTTTACTGAAGGGCTGCAGGGGGAGTCCATCATTTCAAATATATGAAGACTTATTTAGTCAAACAAAATCTAGATGGAATCCTATTATCGTAAGGTAATCACACCCCCTTACCTTCCCTGTCCTAGCAAATCTGTTGTTTATATCTGGCATTTACAAACCCGGTTTCTCAAAATGGGATTAAATTTACTTGTAACTGTAATAATGTGTAATGAGAAGTTTGTTAATGTTAAAAAATAATTGTTGCTGTTATAGTGTTTCTTGAAAGGTAAGCTATTTGTTAATTTCCTCATCGGTTAGAAAGTTGTACTCGATATTTCCATTAGGTGTATTTTTACAACACAATTTGGTGAGATCTGCATGCATATGGAATTTAAGAAATAGCAGTGTGTCTAAATGTAGTGAGACTAGTTAATAGCTCAGCTAGAATGTGGTAGTCTTGAAAGTTTGAACATATTTTAAATGTAACAGATTATTGCAGGGTTAAAATCAGCTGCTAGAATTAGTAATGTAAGTTTAGATTTATCTTTTCAGGAAAACATTTTTATTTCTTAAAGTACTTTTTCAATTTTTCTTTGGTAGTCACTAAAGAGAACGTTAAAATGTTTAGGGAGATGTTAATATCTTTAAGGTTAAGATCTGGGACTTCAGAACATAGATGTATTAGCATTAATATACAAGTTTTGTTACAATCAAATTTATATTACCGTTTAGCATGTTTGGATTACAAAGCTAAGCAATTTTATGTGGCTTGTTAGAAAGTCCTATATTAAGGAAAGCTTTGAAGACCGTGGCAAATAAAACTGTATATACAGTAGAAACTTGCTAAGTATTAAATGATTATATTTGCAGTGGCACTTAACTGTCTTATTGCTTCGTACTATTCCTCGTGGAATTGAACATTTATGAAGTTCTTTTAGATGTTTGTCTGGAGTAAATATATTTAAATGGCTCCTAGTCAAAAATGTTTGTTAGAGCCAGTAAAATATAACAAGTCCATGAAATTAAATTTACCATCTACATCTGTGTTTAATATTTGTCTTCTATAACCCTTTTGTTTTTCAGAAAATAATTGGTATAGTTATTGGGAAAACAGATGTCAAAGGCTTTCCAGACAGAAAAAGCTGAGTTCTGGTTGACTCTTTGCTTCATTTTTCATCAAGTGTGGCTTATGACTGCAACAAAGTATATTTAAGTTATTGAACCTCTCACGCCCATTGAACTCCTTGAGGGCAATGGCCATGCTCTCTATTGTATGGTAAAGTACTTGATTTAAGGCCATATGTGGAAGGACGTTAAAATCATTTTTAATGACATGTACAGCTGTGTGGCCATAGTAAGGACTCTACCTTAACGATCACTCGCAGCCTCAGAGGTGCACATACACAGGTACAGCTAAGACAGAACATGACAAAGGACAGGGGTTTTGAGCACGGATGTGTCATGATAGAGTCGTGTTGAGGGAGAGAAGTCCAGCAGCACATCTGCATATTTATTCAACCAGACGACCCAGTGGAAAAAATCCATTTTTTGTATGCGGAAAATACAGTTACCTTTGGTTTTAGTGGTTCCCACTGAGTTGTTTGACCTGTGTAAAGCTTTTAGGACTATGAAAACATAATCCAAGACTAAAATTAGATTTTCAAAATCAACTCGTTTTCAAACTATTGTAGGTGACACAGAACAATACCGTATAAAACGCCAAAACTAGCGACGCATTACTGTTAGCTTTTCAAACATCAGTGCTGCGTGTTAAAGGTTGCAGTCTCAGTGCTTCTGGACCGCTGGAGGGAGGTCAGAGCTCTCATTAGACAGAAATTTTGTTTGAATCACCTGAGTAATTATGCCTATCTTTTTTTGACTCATGGTAGCTTTCATTTCATGGAATTAAAAAAAAAATTTTTTTTAACGTTTATTTATTTTTGAGACAGGGAGAGAGACAGAGCGTGAGTTGGGGGGGGGACAGAGAAAGAGGGAGACACAGAATCGGAAGCAGGCTCCAGGCTCCGAGCGCTCAGCTCAGAGCCCGAGGAGGGGCTTGAACTCGCAGACTGTGAGATCATGACCTGAGCCGAAGTCAGACGCTCAACCGACTGAGCCCCTCAGGCATCTGTATTTCATGCGGTATTCTTAGGTTTGATGTAAATAATGAAGATGTCATTTTGCACCCATGCTTGCTTACACCTTCACTTATTTCATCATGATTAATTAGATAGAATTATCATTTGAATAGTTTGAGCAAATCCATATATCTGTTTTCTAAGCTCTAAAAGGAATAACTTAAAATACATGAATTAGAAAAATGTCAGTATTTAAACATTTGCTAAAATCACAACAGTGAAATACAATTTTTACCTATCAGACTGTGAGGGTAGAGAGCTGTTCCTGTGGTGTTTGACTACTTTTTATGCGTATATGCACAAAACTCCTTTTGGAGACAAGGCGTGCTTACTGACTTTAAGGAAACATTACACATGTATTAATATGTTTTCACTAAAAATTCAAGCAGTTACAGAAGGTTATATAGTTGAAAAATGAACTTTTTAATTCAGCCCCCAGCTCTTCTGAACCTAGTCTCCTTCCCGAAGGTAAATGCTAATAACAGTTTGGTAGATACCTGTAATTTATACATGTATGTTAGGTTGTATTTAAAAACATTTTTTTTAATGTTTATTTTTTTGGGGGGGGGTGGGTGTTGGGCAGAGAGAGAGGGAGACAGAATCTGAAGCAGGCTCCAGGCTCCAAATTGTCAGCACACGGCTTGACATGGCGCTGGAACTCAACGAACCAACCATGAGACCGTGACCTGAGCCAAAGTCAGTTGCTTAACTGACTGAGCCGCCCAGGTGCCCTACTTTTTAAAAAAAAAAAAAAAAAAAAAAAAAAAAAAAAAAAAATTGTTTTAGTGAGAGTGAGTTTAGGAGAGGGACAGAGAGAAAATCCCAGGCAGGTTCCACAGCCTGACGCGGGGCTCTATCCCACAACCCTGGGATCTTGACCTGAGCCAAAATCAAGAATTGGTTATTCTACCGTCCGGAGCCACCCAGGCATCCCATGGTTGTATTGCTTTTTTAATCAGCAAAAAAGCAGGGAAGAAATTTTATTTCAGGGGGAAAAGATGTTCCTGCTGACCCCTAGTGGCGCATTTGGTAGCACGCATTTATTTATTTGAAGTAATTTAGATCTGAATTACGACTTAGTTTAAAATAATATCAGTAAGAGAGAAATTGCAGAACCTAAGCTACTATCTGTATGGTTCAAGCCTATGTGTCATTTCCCTCGAAATCCACAGATAACTGGGGAAAGAGAACAGAGGGGTCAGTCGTGAGGAGAGTTACCGACTGGCAGCTTTGAGATTCATACAGGCATAACATCGTAGAATTTGTATCTGAAATAATATTTTTACCATGTGTTTGAGTATGTTTGTTATCATAATAATCCTGTTTATTCAAACTTAAGAGTTTTCATTTGAAACATGAAAGCATTGGTTTCCCTTAGATGTTGGATCCGAGAGGTACACTTTCAGTTTTACCATTCGGGACTCACCAGCCCATTTTGTAAATGCAGCGTCCTGGGGCAGCGAAGGCTACATCAGATCTCTTTCTGACAGCTTCAGGATTGGAGAGTGTGGTAAGTGGGCATTGGTTCTTAAACTGTTTCTGTTAGACTATTATTCCTGTGATGTATTTGAGGGAGCCAAAATAAAACACGGTTCCTAATTCTCAAGAACCTTATCAGAAGGAAGGCGTGCAGCTTTTCATTGCTTGAAATCCATTAATGTGATACTCCCGTATTTTTATCAGGTAGCTTTACGATCTTTGGTTTCTTTCCTTTTTGAGTTTGCATCAATACCTGTTGTAGGGATAGCCATTTGTCTTTCCGCAAACATGATAAGGCTGCCAGGTAGCTTTTGATAAAACATAATGTTTGAATTTTAATGGGACTTTAAGAAGCTTTGCTTTCAGATTCAAATACCAAGTCTTTGGTATCCTTTGCCCATCCCAGGATCCCTCTGATGGGCCAGTGTACTGTACTAAAAAACAAGGACTCTGGAAACAGATCTGGGTTCAAATCCTGGTTCCAACCCTTATTTACATCATGGCTTTGAGGAAATTTCTTAACCTTGTTGAGCCTCGACTATGCATTAGTGCCCTGTAGATTCTCGTGAGTGTTAAATGAGGTTGTGCGCCTGGTGTCAGTGCAGAACTTTGTCATCCGGTGGGTGGCAGCTCCAGCCTCGTGCGGGAGACAACACGTACACCAGCCCTCTTTCGTGGTAGGAAAAAGAGGGGAAGAGTAGCGCACAAAATTGAACTATTCCTCTCCAGCGCTGCGGCATCCAGCAGGGTACTACGTGTTCCTGTGGCTTAGCACCTACTCGTACATTTATTCCCTTGTCTTGTGAGCTGGCAGCGTTGTTTGTAGTGTCGCTGTAACTGAGTGATAACATGTGGACTCTGAAGGCAGAAAACTGTGCAAACTTCACAGGGCCCAGGACAGTGAGAAACATTTCTTGGATGAATGCCGGTACGTTAGTTATGTGGAGCTCAAGATATATTTTGGTTTTAAACCATATGTGGATGGGTGTGAGGGTGAATGAGATAAGGGATTCTGAAAGCATCAAGGCTGACGATAATGATAAAGCTAAGTAGGATCTCAGTGTGGTGGAGTGAAAAGATTACAAATTTTGGATCAACAAGTGTAAGCCTAGCTCTACTACTTTCTAGATATAAAACCTAAGAAAGTTATTTAACCTCTGTGCCTTCTTTATTTGTAAAAAGGGATCATCATGGAGTGGTTGCGTGAGGAATTCGCGAAACGGCACAGAGAGGTCTCATGTAGACCACAATGAGGAAACAGAAGCCCTAAAATGTTAGGTCATAAAGCCGATGAGCTGTGGAACTGAAATCAGGAGGCGGATTTTGTATCGCTCTTTCTGCCCCAAGGCTCTCGTTTCCCAGGGCGACAGTGAATGGGGTGAAGTTCACTTAAAGTATAGGATTTACGGAAGGGCCAGTCATGACCAGATCACATGTGGAGAGTGACTAGTCAACAAAGCAACGTTAATGCAGGTCATCAGTTGGGACTGAAACCCAAAACATAAGAAATGTCATCTGGGATCAAATTGATGGCCAAACCCTGGGCTTCTGTGCCTCACCGTGCCATAAGAAAAGGACCATGAAGGATGTGTAACACTGACTCACAAGTTAGAAATAACATTGTAATGTTCGTTGTTAGGAACACCTGTTCTTTATTTATGTAGTTACTCTTCTGTGATAGTATCTTTTCCTCCTCTTGTAGTGATCATTGAAAATCCTCTCATCCAACGAAAGGAATTAGAAAGAGAAGAAAAATTCAGCCCGGCAACTCCTGGGTAAATATTCCAGCACAGAGTCAACACCTTTGTGCGAGCGTGGCCGTCGCTGTTAAGTGCCTGTGCGTCAGGTTAGCAGAGGGCTTACTGAGGGTAGAGGCTTCAGCCTGGAAATTAGAAGTTTAGTTCTTCCTCACAGTATTTACCTTTGATTGTGAAGTAATGGACGTTGATACAGGAGTACATGAAAACTGGCTTTGTTACTTTTATTCTCGTGCTTAGATTTAGACAAATTTGACTCTAGTCACATTAAAGCTGAGCAACAGGAAGGAGAGCTAAATCTTGTAAGTCCAGTATATGTGTCATAGCAAAAAGGTACGACTCTGGTACATGCCTTACTCTCTTAGTTCGTGTTGTCTGGAAGCAGAGCCAGGAGGAGCTTTTGTGTGCAGGTGGTGGCTGTCAGGGGCCGCCTGTAACAATAGGGTCAGGGTAGAGCAGAGAGGCGGCTCGACCGGAGCCAGGAGGGAGCTCTGGAACGTGAGTGGCACCCCTGAAGGAAGGGCAGTGGGCTTCGGGCCCCGTGTTCGCAGGCCACCGGCGGCGTTCCATTCCCCGCTGCTGGCATTTCTGATGGAGGACGGTTCTCCAGAGAAAGGTGAGGCTGGTACAGGGCTGTCAGTGGGACAGAGTCCCACTACACACATACCCTCCCCCCTTCCATTCTGTCCTCGTCATATACCAGACCCCAGTTCTCGTTTCTGTGCAGCCACACAGATCTCTTTCCACTTTCTGAACACACTGGGCTCCGTGCACCGACACCACATGCATTTCACTTCCCTCTGCACAGAGCAGTCTCCTCTCATCTGCTTTGGGCGTTTGCTCCTTCTCCTCAGTGAAGTGTCCACTTGAACGCCACCTCCTTAGGCCTTCTCCATTTGCTTTGTGTTAGTGGCCCTGCCAGTCCCTCACTGGGACCTCGCCCTTTGCCCTTATCATCATAACCTGCGATCTGAAATGATTCATTGCTGTCTGTCCCCCACTCATACCTGTGAGCTCCATGAGATCAAAGGTCTTGTCCGTCTTCTTACCACTGTATTCCCTCTGCCTAGACTAGGGTTTGGCACATAATAGCTCTCGGCAGATATTTATGGAATGAACGGATGAATGGATGGAGGGAGGGCCAGGAGGAAGAGCATTTTTGGTAGAGGGAACAAGCATGAAACCTCCTGGCATTTTCCAGAACAATTAATAGTAGGTTGAAGCATAGGAAACTGTTGCTATTTGACTATATTTAGTCTAAAAACTAGTGCGGGTGCAGGTGTACGTGTCACTCTCATCATCTAGTATCTGATGTGGCTGGAATACAGGGCAAGGGCAGGGAGCAGTGGGAGGGAAAGCTGGAGAGAAGAGCAGAGAAACCTCACAGGCAGCTCTGCCTGCCTGCCTACCAACTTCATTCTCTGGCGATGGCTAGCCCAGAAGGTCTTTGAGCTGGGAAAGAATATGTTCATATTTGTGGTCGAGGAACATCACTTCAGCTACCTGAGCGGGGAAGGAAGCTTAGGAGACAAGGCAGTAGTTGGGGCGAGAAGTGATAAGATAAAACCCTGCAGAAGTAGGGGGGGTATGGGAAGAGGGCCTGGGTTAGAGGGCTGGACAGAGGCTCCCAGAAGGGACTTGGGAGTTGATTGGCTGCACGGGGAGCGCACCTCAATTCAAGTTCAGTATGTAGATGTTGGGCATCTGTTCCACAGAAAGCATCATTGGAGGAAGTCTATGCACGGTCCTGATGCAGGCAGGGCAGGGGGTGTCAAGAGATGGCAATGATGGGACACCCCCACCCTGACATTTCACAGAGAACAAAACAGAAGCTCAGAGTTTTGGGCAAGGTCAGAAACTCGTATGCTTACAACTCGGGCACGGATTGGTCATCAGAACATTTTCTTAATGAAAATACATTTTAGACAAAAAATATTGTACAACATTTTTCACTGTTTCTGAGGGTATAAATTGTCTTGATATAGTCTAAGTCACAAGCAAAAAGATAATTTAATGTGAACCTGGAAATATTTTTCTACTAGAAAGTCACTTGATATTAACTATTTGTGTGTTTACAATTTAGCAACTGTAAACTATTGCTCAGTGAGAATCACTCCACCGTAAAAGTTTGTTCCAGTTATGAAGTGGACACCAAGCTCCTTGCTCTGATATACTTACCTATTAAAGAGTCTCGTGATTACTATTCACTGGGTGATATTGTTGCAAATGGACACAGTCTGGATGGAAAGATTATTAACGTGCTTGCAGCTGTGAGGTCGGTGAGTTAAAGCCTCAACAAAGCCAACCTCTCTTTGGCAGGGAGTCCTATCACTGCATTTCTGTTTGGAAAGTATTAACCAGTTGGAGTAAATTTTCTTGATCCATAGTCACTTGAATTCAGAAAATGGTACAAGTTCTCATCAACATCAAAGTAGCATTTTATCTGTGAGTGAGTAGCAAAAGAAAATCATATTTGAGTGTGAAATGCAGCACACTCATAAGTGATCTACTAACTGTACGAGAGCTTTTCATACTTGGGTTAAATAAAGACACGAATGGAAAGGGTAAATTCATTGACTTGAAGATCTGCAGGAAGTCTCCTGAAGGAGTGGAAGTTGGAAAACTCATGTCGTCCATTCGCGTATGTGCTTGTGATATCCTGAGATGGGGGTGAGAATATCCACTGTGTGGCCGGTCTGTGACCTAATGCAGGCATCGTGGGGTGCTGCGGAGCCCCTCACCAATGGCACATCATCATCTCTCTCTCACAGTTGCTGCAGTGAGTTTCAAACTGTTGGTCAAACTAGTCACTTGGCAGGCATTTAGAGAGAGATCTCAAAAGTAAGGTTTCAGGGCCCCTGGGTGGCTCAGTGAATTAAGCATCTGACTCTTGATCTCAGCTCAGGTCATAATCTCAGGGTCATGAGTTTAAGCTACTCTGTGCTGGGTGTGAAGCCTACCAAAAAAAAAAAAAAGTTTCACTAAAAAAAGCTCATGAAGAAGATGAAAGGAGCAAGACCAATTCCTCATCATATATAGTGATGATAGTCAAAGACCATCTATATATATGTATATGTATATGTATATGTATATGTATATGTATATGTATATGTATATGTATATGTATATATATGAAATAGCCCTGGGTATTGAAGATAATGTAGATAGTGTTGTAAGTAATTGCTCATTGCTTTTCTGTATTAAATGACAGGGTTGATTCTCCCTGTTGACAGACCTGTGATGGTGAAGCCACGTCTGCTTTGCTGTCCACCTTAGCCCCAGCCTAGCACAGTGCCTGCCACATAGTAAGCCCTCGATATAATTCAGATCAGAGGAATAAATACCCTATATGAAAATATTGAAGCGGTGCCTTGGTGGCTCAGTCAGTTAAGCATCCGACTTTGGCTCGGGTCATGATCTCACAGCTCCTGAGTTCAAGCCCCGCATCAGGCTCTGTGCTGACAGCTCAGAGCCTGGAGCCTGCTTTCGATTCTGTCTCCCTCTCTCTGCCCCTGCCCCTGCCCCACTCATGCTCTGTCTCTCTCTCTCAAAAACAAATAAACATTTAAAAATTTTTTTTAAAATTGGAGAGATCCCTTTCTGGGTAATTTATCTTGTTAAAACTTTTTTTTTTCAATGTTTACTTATTTTTGAGAGAGAGAGAGAGAGACAGAGAGAGGGAGACACAGAATCTGAAGCAGGCTCCAGCTCTGAGCTGTCAGCACAGAGCCCAACACAGGGCTTGAACTTATGAACCCTGAGATCATGACCTGAGCCTAAGTCAGACCTTTAACGAATTGAGCCACCCAGGCGCCCTGGGCAATTTTAGCTTCTTAGGTAAAGGCGAAATATGATCTCAATTTCCCTGCAATTCCATATAATGCCATTATATTACAATGTAGTAAGAATTCTCTAAAACTCTGTATCGAGTATAAACAGAAGCCTGCAACAGCTTTTCCTGCTTAACCGCCGTGGGTCTGGTACTCTCTTTTCTAGGATGATGTTACCTCTTTGTTTTCCCATTCTTTCTTCTGCCATTTTGCTTCCATCCCTCTTTCATTTCCTTTTCTTCACATTTTTGTTTAACCCTTTCTCTCTTCTTTCTTACCTCTGTCTCTTCACTTTAGAGGCCTTTTCCTGCAATTCTCTTGTGTGCGGTGGTACGGCAGACCTCTGTCCTCCTCGGGCTGTCCTTTCCTCCGACTTTCCTTCTAGATCCTGCTCTATTGCTGGCAGCTGTGTCTTTCCTCAGCTCCTTCCTCTGGAGCTCAGCCCTGCCAGGAGATGGCAGTGGTGACAGCAGCTTAAGGAGCAGCCGGCTGACCGCCCATGCTTGGGCCACTGCTGTGCGGCTGTCAGAGGGGCCTGCTCTTAAATTTGAGAACTCCCTGGGGGGACAGAAGCGCCCCTGAGCTTACCTCCACTTCCGTGATCTTCTTATCCGCAATGTGGGTCAAACGAGGTGGGGGTCAAAGTGCCCTCCCATACGTCCCTCATTTGGTCCTCACCACCTTATCCCTATGGAGGCGGCAAAGAAGGCATTGATACCATACCTGTGCTAGCAAGAAGAGGTTGCTGAGGCCTTGGAAGACTGAGCTCATTCAGTCACATACACTCCATGCCAGGCTCTGAGCCAAGCCACGGGGATCACAGGGTGTTGAAAATATACTTTCTATCCTCAGTGAGTCCACCTAGATGCCACCCAGGGGCTTGTCTTGGAGCGTGGTTTTTGACACGTTGAAAACATCCCATAGTCTTAAAGCACATATTTCTGTATCTCTCTTTAATCAAAGTGTGTAACTTATAACTTCAGCTAAATATACCTAGTTTAGATAAAAGATGTTAAAAAAATTTTTTTTAATGTTTGCTTATTTTTGAGAGGGGGGGAGAGGTAGGGGCAGAGAGCAGGAGACTCAGAATCTGAAGCAGACTCCAGGCTCTGAGCTGTCAGCACGGAGCCTGATGTGGGGCTCAAACTCCCGAACGGTGAGATCATGACCTGAACCGAAGCCGGACGTTTAGCTGACTGAGCCACCCAGGCACCCCAGAAGATGCTTTCTAAAAATGTGTGTGTGTGTGTGTGTGTCTGTGTGTGTGTGTGTGTGTGAGAGAGAGAGAGAGACAGAGACAGAGAGACAGAGACAGAGAGAGAATCCCAAGCAGGCTGCACTGAGCCATTCAGATGACCCCTAGATAGAAGATTCTTTTAAAATCACCAAGTATATAGTAGTGATTCTATTTTGATATTTTAATTTGATATTTAAAAGATAAAGATTTGAGTACTTCCATTAACAAACATTTAAGTACCTCTACAACTATAGGTGAAGAATAATTATTTCCTTCAATTCCTGAGGTTGGAGAACCAAAATACTTTACAACTTCAGACCGAAGAAAAGGCCAGAGGTGTGAGGTGAAACTCTATGATGAGACGGAGTCTTCTTTTACAATGACATGGTAACCTCCCACATCTGTTCCAAACTGAAATCCCTGCTGTTATCACCAAGACAGAATGCTTTTGTTTCACCAAAAAGATGATGGATTTCATAGTAGGAGAGGGGTAATGACTGGAGAGAAATAATTATTGGAGACTTTGCTCTTGTACATTGACTTGTTACACTCTGTGCTGTAAGATTAACTTAAAATGAGATCTTTAGGCAGCACGGGATTGTTTAGATGGACTCCACTGTGACTGGTTCGTTCTTGTTCTCTGCTTTATAACAAACAATGATTTATTTGGTCCCATTGGTAATAAACCAGCCAGATTTTCCCTGATTGCCTGGGTAGCGTCCTGGAGTCAGGCTGTGGGAAGTTGGTAGAAAAGCAAGTGTTGTCCCAGGCTGCACCTGGGGCACCGTAGGGTAGGACGTGGCATCATCTAGACTCCAGAAGCCAGGGCACCAAAAAAAAAAAAAAAAAAAAACACCACAAAAACCATTAATGTGAAACAGGCCTTCAACCCATCAGGTCCCCTGAACAGTTTATCCAATGTGGGAACCCTCTCTTAATGGTCTGACAGAGAGACTTTAAAGGCTTTCAATTTGTAGTGACTCAGTTCTAACTCGCCTGGAGTGACCTAAGTGGTGGGCAAAGATGGAATTGACGGGGCAGAAGTTGTTAAAGATGAATAGTATCAAAGGAATGATTTATGACGCAGTTGTTAAATGCTTTGTGAAATAGACCGTGTATCCTGCAAAATGCAGGAGAAGCCAGCATCCTTAACTTGTGCCTTGATAACTTGGGGAATCGTTAACTCCAGCCATTAGGACATTCTTTTTTTGGTAAATAAAGTGGTCACTGCCAGTTTTCCCTAATGTATTTGACTTTTGCTTCTTTTTAAAAATATGCAGTTGGGATAATGAATCTATTCTAGTTGCACAGAGCTGGATGCCACGAGAAACAGGTATGATACTGTGATGATTGTGTTCACTGTTTGTCATTTTTTATTCCCCCCCACACACATAATAATTTTAAAATGGCTTTTTCCCCCTAAACAGTAATATTTGCCTCAGATGTAAGAATAAGTTTTGACAAATTTCGGAACTGCATGACAGCAACAGTAATCTCAAAAACCATTATTACAACTAATCCAGGTAAAAGGCTATCTGAAATTTCTTATCCCTTTGGAAATGTCTGTCTGACACATTTCAGTATTTGTGCAGTATATTTAAGAATGAAAACAATGCTTGGATTTCATTTGAATTAAAAGTGAAAACTGCTTTATCTGCTTTACATTTATATTTCTTAAATTTGCAGCAAGCTATCTCTTTGCTGTCTTTACTAAAGAAATGTGAAAAACTAGATTCATTTTTAGAGTATCATCCCTTGTAATGATTTCTGAGAAATCAATGCTATTGATTGGATTACCTAAATTTCTGTTTTATTTTATTTATTTCTTTATTTTTTTCAACGTTTATTTTTGGGACAGAGAGAGACAGAGCATGAACGGGGGAGGGGCAGAGAGAGAGGGAGACACAGAATTGGAACCAGGCTCCAGGCTCCGAGCCATCAGCCCAGAGCCTGACACGGGGCTCGAACTCCCGGACCGTGAGATCGTGACCTGGCTGAAGTCGGACGCTTAACCGACTGCGCCACCCAGGCGCCCCCTAAATTTCTGTTTTAAAAATAAATTCAGTTTTACTATATTCAAATAATTTCATGCTGGAGTACTGAGAACATATACGTAGTATCATTAGTTCATAGCATGAATGAAATACCCCTAAGGCCCACGGGCGTGGATGTTGAAAGCAGTCACAGTTTATTCCAGCATGCAGTCTGGGGAGCGGGATCTGGGGAGACGTGAGGGGTTGGCGCCTTTAAGGACCCTCAGAGCACTTTGCACTGCAGATAGAATGCTTAGCCTGGCACCAGAGCCGGAATGACCCTTCACAATCTCAGGAAGATGTAAATACGACAGCGTTCCTTCTCGAACAGCAGCTCACTCTGCCGGCCGCTAACAGAGCATCGACACTGACCGGGAATTATAAAGCAATTTTCTGTCTTTGAGCAAACCATTAGCAGAATTTTTTAAAGTATGACCTAAAGCGACAAGACTCTGTTGTCTCCATAAGTGCACTGGACCTTGCACATCTGCCCAGGGACGCCGTGTCCCTGAAAGTGGTGTCGTGGAAGGTGACGTGATGTGCCCTGGCTTGGCTTCGTTGAGATCTCATCTGCTGTGCACATGCTGTGTGCCAGGAATTCTCCTGGGGTCCAGTGACAAAACACAAATGTCTCTGCCCGCGTGATGCTCACGGTCTAGCAGGAGAGAGAGATAAGAAACAACAAAGATAACACATCTGTGGATTATGAAGTATTTAAGAAGAAAAAGAGGGATGGGGTCAGGAGGGGCCAGAATGACATGGTGGGTATAGGGAAGGTTGGCCTCCTTGGGACGGTGACATTTGAGCAGAGACGTGGTGAGGCAGTGAGAGGGTTAACCACAGGAAAGAGCGCCAGGCAAAGGAGCAGCCAGTGCAAAGGCCCAGAGGCTGGAGGGAGCCTGCTTGTGGGTAGAACAGCAAGGAGGCCAGTGTGGCTGCAGCTGACGGAGCACAGGCAGGAGGAGGTGTCAAGGTCGGAGGGGAGGGTGGGTCTCAAGAAGGCTTTATAGGCTAATGAGAGGTCATAGGGAAGGAGAACGAGGTCAGGATTTGGAGCAGAGGGTGGCATTTTCTATGAACTAAAAGGATCGCTCTAGCTGCTTTTTATAAATCGATGGTGGCACAACTGTGATCTATTCTCAACATTTAAGACAAGACTGCATGCTTTGGTTCCTTTTCTTTCCATTTCTTTCCTTGAGAGGAATACTATGGTTTATTATTTTTTAATAATTGATCAATATTAATAGTTTTAATAGTATTATACAGAATAATGTCAATGATTAAGAAATCTCCATCCTTTAAGGGTAAATTAGGCCTGGGAAAATTTCTAAAAGACATTTGGGTTTGTCTGTTGGAAAAGGTTATCAAGCTCACTAGGACAAAACTCAAAGCTAAGTTAATGAGACACATATTCAACGGATGTTGTCTATTTGATTCTGAAAACAGATGCAAAGGTGAAATGTCAAAGTGTTTGAGCAATGCCAGCATCACTAGAATAGACACCTGTTTCTCAAAGAGAAAAGGAGAGTACTCAGGAGGGTGTGTGAATTTTCATGTGAATATTTCAAAAAAAATTTCAATGTTTGTTTGTTTTGAGACAGATAGAACGTGAGCACGGGAGGGGCAGAGAGAGAGGGAGACACAGAATCTGAAGCAGGCTCCAGGCTCTGAGCTGTCAGCACAGAGCCCGACGCAGGGCTCGAACCCACGAACCACAAGATCATGACCTGGGCTGAAGTCGGTCACTTAACCAACTCAGCCACCCAGGCGCGCCTCATGTGCATATTTAATCACCCTTATTTCTTTTTTTTTTTTTTTAAATTTTTTTCAACGTTTTTATTTATTTTTGGGACAGAGAGAGACAGAGCATGAACAGGGGAGGGGCAGAGAGAGAGGGAGACACAGAATCGGAAACAGGCTCCAGGCTCCGAGCCATCAGCCCAGAGCCCGACGCGGGGCTCGAACTCACGGACTGCGAGATCGTGACCTGGCTGAAGTCGGACGCTTAACCGACTGCGCAACCCAGGCGCCCCAATCACCCTTATTTCTAATTTCCTGGGCTATACCAGCCAAGTAGAAATTAAAAACCTCTACTGGCTTAAACTGTCATCCTAGCTTTGCTTATGGCTTTCTCTGCCCTGTGAGTGTCCACCACACAGGCCTGAGAACCTTGTCGTCGGCAGGGATCTTCATAGCCGCACCTGCAGGGGGGTAGGGGGTGGGGGGGGGCGTGGTTGGATTTCTGTGACCTCGGTCCAGCCCCTTCCCCTGTCTCCAGTGCCGCAGTTCCGTCCGTGGTTCTGAAACATGCATTCATTCACTCACTCACTCACAAATATCTGTTGAATGCCTTTTATTTGCCAAGCACTGAGATGACGTGAGTCCTTTCTGGAACAAGGCCGGACATGATGGGTGGATGGTCACATGAGTGAAAGGACAGTCACTGTACTGGGTATGAGAGCCTCAGGGCTGGAAAGGCAGAAGCCCTGCTCACAAGGAATTTCAGGATGGTTCTGTGAAAGCTCAGTGATAGGACTCCTGGTTGAACAGGAACTAGGGAGAAGTGCCTGCCTCTGCCCCGGGGCTCAGTGGGGAGGGGCCCCCCCACAATGGCAGGTCTACAGAGTGTTGGGAGTCGGTCAGGGAGGGCTGAAAGGCCGTCAGGTGTTGGAGGTTGGGGGCTTGGGCTGAAGGTGTCGGGGTCACATGGAAACCTTCTGGTACACACTCTGACTATTCCTGAGAATACTTGTATTGCAAGTCGAGGAGCAAGACTTTCAAATAAACTTAAAAGATTTTTTTCTGATCAGAAAAGAAATGCATATAAAATTCAGAAAATACTAAAAGCAAAAAGGGAAAACAACACCTATACTCCTACTATTTTACAAGGGAATCATTTCTTTGATACATACTCTTCCAGATAACCTTGCATATGTGTGTGTGTGTGTAGGTGTGTATGTATATATATATATATATATATATATATATTTAATTTAAAGGAAATTGTTCCACGTAGTTTTGTAAGCTGCCCTTTAACAATGATGTCTGGTCTACATCTCTTCACTGAATAGACTGCTGATGGCTGCACAATATCCTATTTATGTTTTCATATGCCTTTACTTATTGAAAATCATTTTGGATCACTTGCAGTTATCTAAAAAGTGATCCATTGTTTTTCATTTATTGTGCATTTTCGATTTAAGATACACCAGAAGCTAACATCCTGTTGAATTTTATAAGAGAGAATAAAGAAACAAATCCTCTGGATGGTGAAATCGACAGTTATCTGAAAGATTCCATAAATTGTAAGCGACCTTTAAATGTTATTTGGATTTTTAAAAGGAAGTACTTTGTTTTACACAGTAAAAGATACCATATTCTTATTCTGTAACTGCTATATTTCCACTTTCTCAAAGGTTGTATAAAACTTTTAGAGGTTTCTAAAACCTTTTGCCAATCTCATGGGAGCTAAAAACTTGAGTTGACTGTCTTTTTCTTACTTTTACGAATTATTTATGTATGTAGATAGGAGTCCTTTTCATCCTCTAAGATTGCTAGCAAGCCCCACTCTGAGGCTTGCCTTCCCACGCTTTTACTGGTGTCTTCTGATGACCAGAAAGTCTTCAATGAAATAAAATGAATTAAAATTCCCATTCTTTTCCTTTTTTTTTTTTTTGCTTTTTTTTGGCTGTTATGTCCATTTATATAATCAGGTTTAATATAGCAGATATAATAATTTTTCTGTTACTTAACTGAACCTGTTACACGTTCTCATTTGAACTTTATAGTTTTTCTATTTGGATATAATCTTTTGGAGTTCTTCGAATACATAGAGAGCTGTTAATTACTTTTTATTTTTAGTAAACGCAATAGTTGATGTCTATACAGTTGAACAATTAAAGGTAAAAGCTTTGAAGAATGAAGGGAAAGCTGACCCTTTCTACGGGATTCTTTATGCTCACATTTCTACACTGAACATTGATGGTGCAACCACAACTGTTGTTCGACACCGATGGTAAGCAGACATATTACTGTCAGCAAAGTCATTCTTGTAAGAAATAAAGACCAACTAACGTTAATAAATTTTAAGCCCTATGAAAGTTAAAGATATTCTTTGAAATAACAGTGGTTATATATTTGAACGAAAGGTATAAATGAATAACCCATACTTAAATTTCCAAGACAGACTACTTAGATTGAAAGATTATAATTGCCTTAATTTTTTTAAATGTTTATTTACTTTGGAGAGAGAGAGAGAGAGAGTGAGTGAGTGAATGAGTGGGGGGCAGAGAGAGGGGGAGACACAGAATCCCAAGCAGGCTCCACGCTCTGAGCACAGTGCCTGACGTGGGGCTCGAACTCACAAGCCGCGAGATCATGACCTCAACTGAAGTCAGATGCTTAACCAACTGAGCCACCCACGTGCCCCAATAATTGCCTTTAAAAAAAGATTTTAAGTAATCCCTATACCCAGTGTGGGGCTCAAACCCATAATCCTGAGGTCAAGAGTTGCACACTCCACTGAGCCAGCCAGGTGCCCCTATAACTGCCTTTAAACAAAAAGTTCCTTTTTTTAAAAGTCTCATGCTCTACCGACTGAGCTAGCCGGGCAAAAATTTCCTTTTTTTAAAATATTTATTTTTGAGAGAGAGGTAGAGCATGCAAAAATGGAGGCGGAGCAGAGAGGGGAGGGCAGAGGCTCCAAAGCGGGCTCTGTGCTGAGAGCTCAGCCCAACACGGGGCTCAGACCCACAAACCGTGAGATCATGACCTGAGCTGAAGTCAGACCGCTCAACCAACCCAGCCACCCAGGCGCCCAAGCTTTCTCTGTCTCTCTCTCTCTCTTTTTTAATGTTTATTTATTTTGAGAGAGAGAGAGAGAGAGAGCAAGGGAGAGAGGCAGGGAGAGAGGGAGAGAGAATCCAGCAGGCTCCATGCTCAGCGTGATGTGGGGCTCCATTCATGACCATGAAATCATGACTGAGCCAAAATCAAGAGTCAGCTGCTTAACCGACTGAGCCACTCAGGTGCCCCTATAATTGTCTTTTAAGGTAAAATTTGATTTGCTGTGTTTCTGTAGTCACAAAATAAAAAGATATAATACTGCCAGAAACTTTGAACTGAGATGACAAGTGACAGCATTTAAAATTTTTCCTTGTTTATTTTTGAGAGAGAGAGAGCACGTGTGCATACCCACAAATGGGGGAGGGGCAGGGCAAAGGAGAGACAGAATCCCAAGCAGGCTCCACACCCTCAGCACAGAGCCCGACTTGGGACTCAAACTCACAAACCGCGAGGTCACAACCTGAGTCTAGATCAAGAGTCAGACACTCAACAGACTGTGCCACTCAGATGCCCTTAGCATTTAAAAAAAATTCTTTTCAGCTGTGGGCGCCTGAGTGGCTCAGTCGGTTAAGCATCTGACTTCAGCTCTGGTCATGATCTCATGGTTCATGAGCTCGAGCCCTACTTCTCTTTGTCTCTGCTCCTTGTGGTATTTCTCTCTCTCTCTCTCTCTCTCTCTCTCTCTCTCTCTCTCTCTCTCTCTCTCTCTCTCCCCCTCTCCCCCTCTCCCTCTCCCTCCCTCCCTCCCTCCCTCCTTTCTGCCCTCCCTCGTCTCTCTCTCTTGAAAAAAATTATTTTCAGCCACATGGTAAATATGATTTCTAGCCTCTCCTAGGTCAAAGTTATTGTACAAAAGCAAACCCCAGTAGATTTAATAATCTTAGCCAAAAGATGCTTAGCAAGAAACATCTAGGACGTTACTATGAATTTTTGTAATTGAAAATTTTATTGAGATAGTTGTAGACTCACATGGAGTTATAAGAACTAATAAAGAGAATCCATGGACACTTTCTCCACTTCCCTCCGATGGTAACATTTTATGAAACTATAGTATTGTATCGTAGCCAGGGTATTGATATTAATTCAATCTGATGATTTTTATTCAAATTTCACCAGACTGACATGCAGTCATTTGTGTGTGTGTGTGTGAAGTTCTATGTAGTTTTATTACATGTGTAGCTTTGTGTATCTACCACCACAGTCAGGATACTGATCTATGGATTTTAAAAACATTTTATGATTTGATGTTAAAGTTGAAAAAAAACCAGTGTGGAGGTGGCGATGTATGTCAGGTGTTTACTTTTTGAAAAATATTTTTCAAAAACTTTTTGAAAATTTTAATGTCTTTCTCATTTTTTCCTACATCTTTAATATTGATACATGAGGAAAAGCATCTGAAATTTAGCTTAAAAGTGATACGTGCCCAGACAAGAAAGCACCGTCTTCAGATCGCCCCTCCACTTGAGAAACTTGAGTCGGTCTTTCTGTTCCAAGTGGCTAAAGCAGACTGCTCCAAACATATGGAACAGCATGTAATTCCCCGAAAGAGAGAAGAGTGGGCTCCTGGCAGTACTAACAGCATTCAGGGTGTGAACTTGACCACCCCTAGGATTTTTCTGTCAACATGTGGAGGCCTAGTACAGAAGCATCATGTGAGCATTTGTCGAACCCGGGCTTTCCGGGGACAGGACATGATCCTTGCCCTCAGCGGCCTGAGCCAGGGAGACTAGACAGACGTACCTACAGTGTCAAGGAATAGGCCGTGACAGATTTCCAGGGCTGAGAGCCGGTCCTGCCGCTGTCTGCAGAAGGGAAGGGGTGAAGGAGCCCCAGCAGGGGGATGCAGGGCAGTGGAAAATGGGATTGAGCGCAAATTGTGGTGTTGCCTGCTTCGCCCGTCCGTCTGGCATTGCATTGCTCTAAGGGCTCCGGAAGTCCTTACTCTGGTTTAGACTTTTAAGGGAACGTGGTTCTTCAGCTAGAGATCAGGTTGGTCATTTACACCCTCACCTGTTATCACTGTCTTTGTTTCTTTTCAGCTCGGGCTGTGGATACGTTATGAAGGAAGCATCCGGCACCTGCCCTACTTGCCACCGAGATTCTTTGGAACTTAAATCTGTTTTTCTCAGCTTCCACTTGCTAATTGATGTCACTGACCACACAGGCACCCTCCATGCCTGCAGCCTCACGGGAGGTGTTGCAGAGGAGACTTTAGGCTGCACGGTAAGTAGCAGAAAGGAACACGTGTTTAGAAATAATTCCAGATTGAATTCTCTTCCCCCAAACATAGGTTATTTCAGTGGACATTTGATAGAAATTAAGTCATTAATAAAGAGGTCTGGGGGAAAAATCAGTCTTGATGGAAACACACATTGCTTTAGTGAAGAAATAATTGCACGTTTGCCAATCACCGCTAATCTCGCTGCTGGGAATAGTGTTGGAGGCTGTTGGCTGCAGTGGAGAAAGACCTTCTCTGTAGTCACAGTGGGCAGAACAGCGCATTGGGGGGTGCCGATCGGTGGTGAGACAGAAGGAGGGTTTGGCGACGCGCCACGACCAGCTGTGCAAAGTGAGCCCGATGCAGTCAGCGCACACGGTGGCCTCCACGGGACGGCAGCAGATACTTAGGGGCGTGTGGGCTCGATGACAGGCATGTGTTTTTTATGGTGAGAACCCGCTCCTGAAGTTTACCATTAAACCTCGGTCCCAAGCGGTTTCTAGTTTGTGAAAGGGAGTTTTCTGGACTGAGCCACCTGACTCCCTTCAGGGGTTTCCTTCAGAGCCTTTCTGACCTCTCCTCCATTTAGAGAGTTGAGCTGTCACTTGTGTGAATAAAATCCCAGTCAAGTGAGCAAAGTGAAGCTCCACGTTGCTGTCAAGATGAGTTATTTATACAGACTTCGGAAATGTGTGTTTGATCGTTTTAACCAGGTGAATGAGTTTCTTACAATGACGGATGAACAGAAAACAGCGCTGAAGTGGCAATTTCTTCTGGAGAGAAGCAAACTTTACTTAAAAGTTAGTATATTTTACAGTACTATGTCACTCTATATATTCAAGTAATAAGAAAATCCTAGAGTAAGACCTAGAAAGTTCGGGAATTTGTTATTTTTAATGCCCAATTCCACATGTGCAGAAGGACTTGGCTACTGTGGAAACAATGCAAGTCATCTGTTTTTTTTTTTTTTTTCCCCCGTAAAGTATAAAGGGACTCCACAGGACACCAAAGAAATAGACCAGCAAGGGGTGCCTGGCTGGCCCAGTCGGTGGAGGGTGGGATTCTTCATCTCAGGGTTCTGAGTTCAAGGCCCACGTTGGGTGTAGAGATTACTTAAAAATAGGATCTTTAAAAGAAAGAGAGAAAGAAATAGACCAACAAAGACACTATCTGTTAGGTTAACTCCAAGGCAGTGCACTGGGCTGTCAAAGCTGGTCCTCGCCCTGCCCCAGCTGTGTGGCGGTGCCCCTCAATTCAGTAAGCAGAATTGGATGGCACGGTCACATGCGTGGCTGCGGGGGGCTACACAGTCTCCGGGTTTGAACTCTAATCCCGCCACTCAGCCTCTGTGACCCTCTAAAACGCTGTGATCCTGCTGCTCTAACCAGAGCAGGGCCGCAGCCTTGGGGGGAGGGGGTGGTGTCACAGAATCTTAGTATTAAAGGGGAAAGGGGACTGAGACAAACTCCTGTTGTTTTGCAAATGCGGAAAATGGGACCAAGAAATACTGCTACTTGTGCCAGGTCACAGGTGAGATAGGGCTGCAGCCTACGTGACTCCTCTCCTTCTGCCAGTCTGAAAAGTTTTCTCCTTCACACTCTTCAAAGTTTTCAAGCTCCTCTTTCAGAGAATTTTATCTGTCTGTATTTACTGCACGAGGACGTAACATCGAGAACAACCTAAAACACGTTCATGAGCACACATTCCTTTAACAGTCTGCAGTGTTGTCATCTCATGTTCCATAGCCTCTGGAAAACCACCGTATGTTCTGTGGAAGAATGAGAGTGAAAAGGCCAACCACGTCTTAGTATAATCACGGAAGTAGTTGTGATCTCACAGAGGCTCTAAAATTGCCTTTGAGAACACTGCATCTCCACCAGCCCAGCCTCAGAAGCAGGTGTTCCCATTTTCCAGTGGCTTCTTTCCTTGTGGCCTCAAGCATATCCGAGTGGGTTACCGACATGGAGTTACCTATGGTCTCACTGATATTTCTAGGACCTTGCTTTGAGACTTCTTCATTGCTAGGCCTAAGGGGGAAATTGCAAGGATATGCTGTGTCTCGTCCACCATTAGCGTGGGTCCATGTGAATACTGTCCGTTCCCAACTCAGAATATACTCAGATCTATGACCGACTTTGTTTTCCCTCCAAATACGAGGTGCAAGTTGCTAATGAATTTGATCAATTTAAATTCATGGCAAGTTACTTGCAGTTTTCCTAACTCAATTCAAACATACCAATAAATTGCTCTCAAGTAAATATTGTACCTTCCCAAAGAATATTTTTTAAAAAGTATTTAAGTCAGATTGAACAAAGATTTTAAGCAGATATAAAATGGTCATATCACAGGGCCACCTGGGTGGTTCAGTCAGTTAGGTGGCCCATTTTGGCTCAGGTCGTGATCTCATGGTCTGTGAGTTCAAGTCCCGTGTTGGTCTCTGTGCTGACAGCTCAGAACCTGGAGCCTGCTTGGGATTCTGTGTCTCCCCCTCTCTCTGCCCCTTCCCTGCTCACTCTGTCTGTCTCTCAGAAATAAACTAAAAAGTTAAAGTGATCATAATACAAAATGTAATAAAGATCTTGGGGCGCCTGGATGGCTCAGTCGGTTAAGCGGCCGACTTCGGCTCAGGTCATGATCTCACGGTCCGTGAGTTCGAGCCCCGCGTCGGGCTCTGTGCTGACAGCTCAGAGCCTGGAGCCTGCTTCAGATTCTGTGTCTCCCTCTCTCTGTGACCCTCCCTCGTTCATGTTCTGTCTCTCTCTGTCTCAAAAATAAATAAACATTAAAAAAAAACTAAAAAAAGTAATAAAGATCTTGAGAATCAAATACAATTTATCAATTATTTTAAATCAGTTAAAAAATGACAAAAAGTATTGTTGTACAGATGGGGTATTTTGTATATGCATATTTCAATTAAAAATAGGGGTGCCTGCGGGGGCTTAGTCGGTTGAGTGTCCAACTCTTGATTTTGGCTCAGGTCATGAGCTCATGGTTCGTGAGATCGAGCCCCACACACTGGCTTCCGCGCTGAGTGTGGAACCTGCTTGGGATTCTCTCTGTCCCTCTGCCGCTGCCTCTCTCTCTCTCTCTCTCTCTCTCTCTCTCTCTCTCTCTCCTTCAAAACAAAACTATGACTACTTCAAATGGTTTAGTTGGAGGGATTTCAAAAGAAGGTATTTTAATGTTTTAAAACACATGGTGATATTACTACAGGTCCTTTTAAGTCTGATGTTAGTGTCAAATGATTTCCAAAAAGGGTAAAGCCACGACTGTCATACAAAAATAAAATGAACACATCAAAGATTTAATTCAATTCATTAGTTAGTGAAGAAACCAGGAATGTGTCCTCCCTGAATGAATTCAGAGGAGAACCGGGATTAGAGGCATAAAGGCAGGCTACCAGCAGTGCTGAAGTGGGCTTCTGTGCACCTGCAGAGTGGTCCTTCTGCAGGGCAGAGTGGTCGAGTCCTCACCCAGATGGAGTTTATCTGGATTTCTCCGAGCGGGACCACTATTTGCTTCACCATCTGTTTCCTGCAACTTAAAAACCGCTCCATCAAGGCCCTGAAAAGTGCTGCCGAATGAGGCAGCTCCAGCGCTCCGGCCAGCCGCACCCCGACTGGGGGAGGGGGCGGGGACGCTCCATGGGAAGGTGCCCACGGAGCTTCATTGCCCAGTTCAGTCTTGCAGTGTTTTCTGCCAGGAGTCTTTTCCTAGTAGTCTTTGAAAGTAAACCAGCTAGCTGATGTGCCCTTCTGCCCTGCGTTAAATAAAATGTTGGTGAAGGTGCTTTATTGTCAGAAGGGAGACGTTGTTATCAATAAAGCACATCACCACGTCCCCATAGCCTGACAGATTAGGTCGCCACCACGGGTTAACGTCTGTCACAGCTGCTGGCTTGACACTCTTTATTTTATGCATGATTGTACGCATGTAACCTCTGCACTCAGTGTGGGGCTTGAACTCATGACACTGAGATCAAGAGGTACATGCTCCACTGACTGAGCCAGCCGGGTGCCCCTTGAAGACACTTTAAACCCTTCTTTTTGTTAAGTATTGGATTTGAAACTCCAATTTTCCTACCAAAGAGAAATGCCATGAAACAAATAACATAGATTTTGACAAAATCAGCATCAGGAGCCACATCTGTAATTTCTCTCCAAACTGGCCCCGAGACTGGGACTCTCTCAGGTGTATGCTCACACCTGCAGAACAGCTCATTGTGGCTCTCTTGTGCTCACTGGTTTTCAACTTTATATACGTGGTGGTTTTTAAAGTTAACTCCCTCTCTCTCTCTCTCTTTTCTCCCTGCAGTTCTTTTTATCACATAGAGCAAGGGGTGGACTGAGAGTTAGCGTGCTCTCGTGTAAGCTTGCAGACCCTACTGAGGCAAGCAAGAACTTGTCTGGACAAGGAAATACTTAAAACAGGGTGTTTTAAACTCTGAACAAGGATATGAGCTTCGACTCCCTGGAAAGTGGAAAACAAGTTTGAAGATTATGGATGAAATTGTATTTTGTTCAAATGTGGTAAAAATGTTTCTATAAATTGTTATTGTGTTACCTTCTGGAGTTGGTTGAGAGGGGTGAATCTTAAAATCTCTCATACAACCCAGCTCCTTTGTCAGAAGTCCTTTTCTTCCAGCTTTGCCCAAATTGGAAAACGTTTGCATGAATTAGTAAACAAGTTTAATCTTCCCCACAGATATGAATGATTTTTTTTTTTAATTTACATCCAAGTTAGTTAGCATGTAGTGCCACAATGATTTCAGGAGTAGATTCCTTGATGCCCCTTCCCCATTTAGCCCGTCCCCCCCCAACCCCTCCAGTAACCCTCTGTTTGTTGTCCATATTTAAGAGTCTCTTCTCTTTTGTCCCCTCCCTGTTTTGATATTATTTTTGCTTCCCTTCTCTTATGTTCATCTGTTTTGTGTCTTTTAAAAAAATTTTTTTTTAACGTTTATTTTTGAGACAGAGAGAGACAGAGCATGAACGGGGGAGGGTCAGAGAGAGGGAGACACAGAATCTGAAACAGGCTCCAGGCTCTGAGCTGTCAGCACAGAGCCCGACGCGGGGCTCGAACTCATGGACCGTGAGATCATGACCTGAGCCGAAGTCGGCCGCTTAACCGACTGAGCCACCCAGGCGCCCCTGTTTTGTGTCTTAAAGTCCTCACATGAGTGAAGTCCTATGCTATCTGTCTTTCTCTGACTAATTTCACTTAGCGTAATAGCCTCCAGATCCATCCACGTAGTTGAAAATGGCAAGATATCATTCTTTTTCATTGCCAATATACGAGTGTATCGATATACGAGTATCGATAATACTCCATCGTATAAATATGCCCCATCTTCTTTATCCATTCATCCATCGATGGACATTTGGGCTCTTTCCATACTTTGGCTGTTGTTGATAGTGCTGTTGTCAACGTAGGGGTGCATGTGTCTCTTCGAAACAGCACACCTGTATCCCGTGGATAAATGCCTCGTAGTGCAACTGCTAAGTCGTAC